GGGTTTCACCATGTTGACCAGGATGGTCTCGATCTCTTGACCTTGTGATCCCCCTCTTTCTTAGCAGAAGTTCTCTCTCCGACATCCCAGCTTTCCAAAGCTAGTTTTTGAATGTTGGCACCTAGGAGAAATTTTTCTTGCTACCATTAATACTTTATCGACATTAAAAACAGTTGGGGGCCAGGCTCTGTGGCTCACGCCTGTAATCCCAACACTATGGGAGGCCGATCGGAGGCGGATCACGAGGTCAAGGGATCGAGACCATCCTAGCCAACATGGTGAAACCCCGTCTCTACTAAAATATAAAAATGAGCTGGGCGTGGCACGTGCCTATAATCCCAGCTACTCAGGAGGCTGAGGCAGAAGAATTGCTTCAACCTGGGAGGCGGAGGTTGCAATGAGCTGAGATCGCGCCACTGCACTCCAGCCTGGTGCTTGGTGACCAAGCGAGACTGTCTCAAAAAAAAAAAAAAGTTGGAATGGCCTGGAGCAGTGGCTCACCCTCAATTCCAGCATGTTGGGAAGCCCAGGCAGGGGATCGCTTGAGGCCAGAAGTTCAAGACCAGACTGGAAAACAGCGAGACCCCATCTCAATAAAAATAAAAAATGAGCCAGGTGTGGTGGTGCACACCTGTAGGCCCAGCTCAGGAGGCTGAGGTGGGAGAATCACTTGAGCCTGGGAGGTCGGGAGGTCGGCGCTGCAGTGAACCTAAGAGCACCACTGCTCTCCAGCCTGGGACAGAGCGCGATCCTGTCCTGCCCCAAAAGAGAAAAAAGTTGGAATGAGGGAGGGGTGATGGGAAGTCCATGTTTAATGGGTTTGGGATTTCACTTGGGGGAGGTGGAAAAGTTCTAGAGGTGGTGCTGGTGATGGCTGCACAATGTGACTGTGGCTGATGCCCCCAAACCTTGCACTTTTAAAAAAACTCGGTTGGTCAGGTGTGGTGGCTCACACCTAATCCCAGCACTTTGGGGTGCCAAGGCAGGCAGATCAGGTCAGGAGACTGAGACCATCTCGGCAACATGGTGAAACCCTGTCTCTACTAAAAATACAAAAATTGCCTGGGCGTGGTGGCGCGTGCCTGTAGTCCCAGCGACTTGGGAGGCTGAGGCAGGAGAATCACTTGAACCAGGGAGTCGGAGGTTGCAGTGAGCCCAGATCATGCCACTGCACTCCAGCCTGGCGACAAAGTGAGACTCTGTCTCAAAAACAAAACAAAACAAAACATCTTGGCTAAGATGGTAAATTCTGTGTTGTATGTATTTTACAGTAAAGCAAATGGTTTAATGTATTTTCTGGGAGGGAGGGACAGAGTGTCACTCACTCTGTCGCCCAGGCTGAAGGGTAGTGGCGTGATCTTGGCTCACTGCAGCCTCCACCTCCTGGGTTCAAGCGATTCTCCTGCCTCAGCCTCCTGAGTAGTTGGGACTACAGGCACCTGCCACTATGTCTGGTTAATTTTTGTATATTTGGTAGAGACAGGGTTTCACTGTGTTGCCAGGTTGGTCATGAACTCCCGGCCTCAGGTGATCCACCTGCCACGGCCTCCCAAAGTGCTGGGATGACGGGCATGAGCCACTGCGCCCAGCCTGGTCCTTGTTATGGTTCTTTTCTCAAGCCCTGGTCTTGTCATACATGTGCTCTGCATGTTCTGAGGCTCAGTGTTCTGTTGCAGATTGAGGGGGGCCGTGGGGCCATCACAGCTCTCACCGTCACTGCTGTGGCTTCCTCTCCTGTTACCAGGTCAGCCCAGGATCCTGTGAATTATACTCACTCACTTCCCGTTTTTGGGGTCTCTGTCCTCGAGGCTGAGGCTGTTTTAGGACCATGATTCTGTGTATTTTGTCTAGTTTTTAGTTGTTTCAAGCAGGAGGCTAAACCCAGTTCCTGCTACGCAACCTTGACCTTCACTGGAAGTCTCAAATCCCCAGTGTCTTGATTTATGGTGTTTTCATTGTCATTTTATAAGTACTCCCTAATTTCTTTTTTTTTGTTTTTGAGACAGGGTCTTGCTCTGTCGCCCAGGCTGGAGTGCGGTGGTGCAAACATGGCTCACTAAAGCCCTGATCTCCTGGGCTACAGCAATACCCCGCCTCAGCCCCTCAGGTAGCTGGGACTACAGGCGTGTGCCACACACCGGCTGATTTTTGTATTTTTGTAGAGATGGGGTTTTGCCCATGTTGCCAGGCTGGTCTTGAACTCCTCTTGGGCTCAAGCAGGCTGCCTGCCTCGGCCTCCAAAGCGCTGGAATTCCAGGCATGAGCCACTGTGCCTGGCCTCTCCTTTCTATTACTATTGTTTTTTAACTCAGGAGTTACTTGGAAATTTTTAAAATTTCAAAATGCATGGGATTTTTGGTCCTTTTTTAAAACACTGACTTCTAACCTATTTGAATTGCAGTTGGGTAATGTAACCTGTGTAACACAGACTCTCTGCAATTGGTTCAGACTTTCTTCATGGGCTGATATGTGGCCTGTTTTTGCTCATGCTCCTCACATGTCTGGGAAGCACATGTGTCCCGGCAGCGGACGCAGCATGTGGGTGGAAGCACATGTGTCCTGGCAGCAGACGAAGCGTGTGGGTGTTTCTCCTGACCCATGCTCATGTGCACAAATTCTTGTCGCCACTTCCTGTCCCCTTCACCCACGCGTTATGGAAAGAGGTGTTAGGCTCTCCGTGGGGTGCAGACCTGGCAGCGTCTCTGTTTTGGCTCCAGTGTGTCGTGGGGTGGTGGTGTCTGCTGCCTGCCGCCCCTTCCCCTTCCTGCCAAGTCACTCCTGTGCCACGGGTGACCCTCTTTTCCCTCCAGCGATTCTCGTTGCTGGTCCGGAGGCCGCAGCACAGGCCCGTGTGGCTCCTGTTGCGTTTGCCTTCTGCTTTCCGCTTTCCTGTGTCCTCATGTTCCGTGGGGTAAACCTTATAAAAATGGTTGTTGTTTTTTTTAAATAAAAAAAACAGCTCCACGTGGGCTTACTGCTGTCTCACTAACTTTTGTTTTTTAAATAAAACACCCATGTCCATTAGATCATTTAGCCACGTGTAACTACAGTTCCCCTTCCCTGATATTCAGCCAAGTGGAGCTTTGTTTATCTCCTGGGACATGACCCAGAGAAAGGAACCAAGGTCACAACGGCACCTTGTGGTCCCCGGGTCCAAGCCCCGGGTGCCGGCGCTCAGCACTGTGTGCGAGGCTTTTACTCCCGTGCCCCGGGAGCAAGCCTCCATGTCCAGGCTCAGGACTGGCTTTCCAGGCAGGACGCAGGGAGGGGGAAGAAAAGCACATTGCAGAGTGGTAGTCAGCCTGTGTCCTGGTGCTCGTGGGCGGCCATCTCACCGCTCAGGCCTGGCCTGCGGCCCGCGCAGCACACAAAGCCAGCTGCATTTGGTACCAAACCACCACTGAGGTGGGTCGCTGGGCCCCTCTCTGATGCCCTACTGTACGCTGCGCATCTGTGCCTCGACCATCCTGCCCCTGCCCTGAACACCTTAGCTCTGCTGTGACCACACTGCCCCTCCCCCAAACACCCTGCCCCAATGACCCTGATCCTTTCCTGACCATCCTGCCCCTGCCCCAAACACCCTGCCCCGACCATCCTGCCCCTGCCCGACCATCCTGCCCCTGTCCCGACCATCCTGCCCC